CAAAGCGCGATAACCTAATTACCACTGTTTGATGAATATACTAGAGTAGAGAAATATTGGGATAACTGTTGAAAATGAGCTATATTACAATAGCATGTCAAAGTGTCAGGTTTCATTCAGATATCAGATAACTATAATACAATGAGACGAATTACTGCGTTACCTCAAGATGGTTGTGCCAGTAATGAAAACAGACTGTTTTATGATGATAGTCGAATAATCACTGTAGAGTGGATTGATTGGTTACTGTATAACATTTATTTAGGAATAATCTCTATTCGACACTCTGTGTTATTATAGAAACTAGAACGAGTGGTAGTTATTCAGCGGCGGTGTTTATACAAGTTTGCAAATTGAATATGCTGCCATGACTACAAGCTCCCTGAAAATTCACTTCATCTATGGTAGCAAATGAAGACATCTGTCCCCTATTTATTGCAGATATCGTAATAACGGTTATAAGATTTCCAATTATGATAACTCAAGTTTTCTCTCAGTGATGGAGATGATCCCACTTGGTCCATGACTCCATGAGTGTATCATTTGTATCTTTCTGACAGTTGCGAATTTTTGAATCCTAACTCAATTATTTCTACAGAAGATACGGGGGTGTAACCATAAGAAATGTGACACACTGAATATATTTTCGCGAATATATCTGAAATTGTGGAAGGAAAAAGTAGGGTTATATATATATATTTGTAATGAGAACGCCTGGGACTATTCAACTGTGCCAAAATATACGGGGTGTTCCATTAGAAAAAACATAATTGGCTGCCGTATCTTTTCAACGTCACCCTGTATAAAATTTCTGATGATGCCAATGGATTCCACGCATCATACTGTATAAATATACGTTCGAAATTTTTTTGATACCTCTCACCGTAAAGTAGTCAGAAAATAAAATCGAAATCGGCAAATTTTCAATTTCCCCCTGTATCTCTAAAACGAATGAAGATATCGAAATGTGCCATTCGAGGTTTCTCCAAAATCGAACCCGGAACATGTATATAGGTTTTTCGATAACTCCTCTAGTTATTGAGATTGACGGTGAAAACGCCCAATTTTGCCCACCCTGTACAATCCAAACAGCTATGATTATTGGGACAAATATCATCTGAATTCACCAATAATAAAAAAACGAGCTATGTCAATAAAAAATCTAAATAGACTAAAAATCATAAGATTCTCATAATGTCATAACACACCTGCGTTATGATGGTAGCAAATGTCCATTCAAGGGTATTACAAATGGTTGAGGAAAGTGATTTTTATAATTACAGAATGGAGAGAATACTGTTGTAATAATAAAATGATCAGGAATAGGAGATTTTTATATAATGGTTATTACAATCAAAGCTGGTAGATATTTTTAATATCCAGTTTCTTTCAGTGTGAATAAGTGAAATTCGAACGATGAAATAAACGATAATTTGTTGTTTCAATCCATCATTTTTTTAACGTTTTAAACAGGTTATTGGTGGACAGAATTTCACCCTACATTGTGAAAGTATCATTTCATTGAACAGACATTCCATTTCAATGTTTGATAATGGTTGTAGGTCAACACAATAACATGATGCATTGTTGAAAATGAAACGTTTGAATTGTCGCTGACTTCAATCAAATTTCAATGTTGAGGTTTTCAACCAGTTATTCCATCCCCACGAATCCAACCGTTACCTATTCAACGTTTATTAAACAAGTATGTGTTAACTGGGATCTGCCAATTAATAGTAAAACTGCATTCATCATGCGATTGTTCTTATTTCGAAAATTTCTTTGGCCCTTACGTATTTTTGTCTGAAAAACAAGAATTTGATGACGAAAATGTGAACAAACCATTATTCATTAGGATATTCAACTATCAAGTTACAAATTTCACCTTCTTTTCCGCCTATCTTCTGGATCGCATTCAGAACAATTTGCCCTTCTCATTTCATCATTGGACAATTTATATGTATCATAATTTACGACATATTTTTTTCCATTATATGGGTCCACCAAAAATATGATTTTCTTGTGATTCATCCATATTTACTGAAAAGAGGGAAAAATATCATTCAAAATAATGGCGTATGTAATTTCTTTCAAAAGGAATCTGTAGACATTTGACATCTCGTATTGATTAAATCGCCGTCATCTGGTATGCTTGTTCACTAAATATGAAAAACTCGCCATCAAAATCATATTTCCTGTTGAATTTTCTATATCAAAATGTGTCATTGAAGTACATCATGAGTTTATAAAGTGTCCAATGACAAAATAAGATGAGCAAGTACCTAGCTATTTAGATCTATGCTAACTGTAAATGCGCATCCACCTCAAGGGGAAAAAGAAGTCGGAATTTAAAACCTTATTCTTGAAATATCTCGATAAATAGTGGTTCGTTGACATATTCATTATCGAATTCGTGTTTTTCAGACAAAGATACGTGAGTACCAGAAAAGCTTCTCGAAAAAAAAAAAAATCATCCGGTAAATCTGCATTGAGCATGCGATGGGGTTTGGTACTTACGTATTTTTGTCTGAAAAACACGAATTTGATAATGAAAATGTGAACAAACCATTATTTATTAAGATATTTCACTATAAAGTTACAAATTTCACCTTCTTTTCCACCTGTCTTCTGGATTGAATTAAAAACAATTTACCCTTCTTTTAGACAATTTATATATATCACAATGTAAGACACATTTTTTCCTATTATTGAGTCAACTAGAAATATGATTTTCGTGTGATTTATCCATATTTAGTGAAAAGAAGGAAGAATATCATTCAAAATAATGGCGTGTGTAATGTTATTCAAAAGCACTCTGTTGACATTTGACATCTCGTATTTGGATTGACTATTAATCAAATGGCTGGCATCCCAGGCAGAACACTAATATTGGTTGAATGTTGGAAAAATATAAGCGAATGTTGGGAAAATATTGATATCGAATGTTGGGCCAAGAAAATAATGTGAACAATCTGAGATCTTGATATAATATCGAATTCCAATCTTGTTTGGATATGCTTCGTTCAATACCATGTTTATATTTATATACAATATTCAATTCATATTTGCCTCGTATATTGGACCAACATGAGAATGTGAACATTTTGGAATCTTGGTGCTATGTTGAATTTCAATCTTGTTTCGATATGCTCTATCCAATATCGAGTTAATATTCGTATACAAGATTGGACAAATATATGATGCCAACTTATAGAAAACTGGTTTCTTATAATTTTCATATGTGAAATCGATATTGAATTCATATTCCCCTACTATATTGGCTAAAATGAGGATGTGATTATTTTGCAATATTATCTTCATGTTGAATTATAATATTCAACCAATATTGAATTTCGTTTTTCAACAAAACTCGAAATCAAAATTCGAAGCCATATTAGCCTCATTAAAAAATTGCGATATTTGTACAATATCAAATCCATTTTCGTTTCCTGTATCCCAGAATACTTAGTTTGCAAGTTGAACGAATGCGGTATTTGATGTCTCTCAGCAGTCGTTTGTTGGAGGCGTGCTAGTGGCGCCAGCTGTTATAACGTAGCTCAAATACTAAGAGAAATATCACGAATATCGATTCGATATTAGAAATCCAATGTCAGTGCAATATTGGTTCTGGCATATTTCATTAGTTTTATCTATCTGAAATGGGTCGCATATTGATGAACTAATATTGGATGAATAAAAATACAAAATATTGATACAATATGTTTTCCAAGATTGATTCGATATTGGGAATACAATATCAGCCCATCATGAAAATTGACATATTGTATTCGTTAATATTTCGCCAATATCAAATAAATATTGGCAAACTGATATCGGCTGGTCACAAAATTTCAATGTTATTACAACATTGGCACTGGATTGATTATTGAATATCGAAATGATATTGAATCACCAATATCAGTGCAATATTGCTGGACAACGAAGAGCAATATTCACCAACCATCATAAATCTGATATTGATGCAATATTTTTTTCCATGATTGATTCAATATTGGAAATACAATATTAGCCCAATCATGGAAATTGACATTGTGATCGTCAATATTTCACCAATATCGAATAGATATTGGTAAATAAATATCGGCTGGAAACAAAATTTCAATGTTATTACAACATTGCTGGACAATGAAATACAATATTCACTAACCATCATAAATTTGATATTGAGTCAATATTTTTTGCCAAGATCGATTTGATATTGGAAATGCAATATCAGCCCATCATGAAAATTGACATATTGTGATCGTTAATATTCCTCCAATATCAAATAAATATTGACAAATTGATATCGGCTGGTCACAAAATTTCAATGTTATTAAAATATTGGCAATGGATTGATGATCGAATATTGAAATGAAAAATTGGTTTGATATTGGTGCAATCTAGTAATTCCATATTCAATATTCGAATATTGGGCTAATATGAAACCAAGTTCTAGCCAATATGATGTTCTACCTGGCATCTGGTATGCTTCTTCACTGAATATGAAGAACTCGCCATAAAAATCATATTTCCTGTTGAATTTTCTGTATAAAAATGTGTCATTGAAGTACATCATGAGTATATAAAATGTCCAATGACAAAATAAAAAGAGCAAGTACCTGTAAATGCATCCAATACAAGGGGAAAATGGAGTCGGAATTTCGAACTTTTTTTTGAAATATCTCGATAAATAGTGGTTTGTTCACATTATCATTGTCAAATTCGTGTTTTTCAGACAAAAATACGTAATTACCAAACAAAATTTCCGAAAAAAAAACCATCGCATGCTAAATGTAGTTTTACCAACCATCGCATGATAAAAGCAGTTTAACCTCAATTAATCTATTTTCTCTTCAATCTGATACGAGGCTGATGTTATACTGAAAGTTGGACACCGTTCAATAAATGAATGAAAATTCAGTCTGAAACATGTTCATCAACTTGTTAATCGAAGGAACTCTCCAATCTCTATAAAAAAAGTAAACAATGACCCTTACCATTATTCGTTTCTTTGACGTAACATTTGCTGCACCAACACAAAGAACACATTTTATAAGCGGCGTCCAGCGATTCGCTACAAAGTCTGACGGCTAAATTGGCGAAAACTCGGAAAAACACTTTGGAGTACCAACACATTTGTTTAGATTTGTTCATTGTCCATAGTCGCTTTGTCGAAAGCCGTAGTGTGTCACGTGCAGTCGCTGTGAAAATAGTCAATATAGCGCTCAGTTAAACTAGCAACATATGGCCGGAGGCATCGGATGCAGTTTTTTGGGTTGATAGACCGGGTGATTTCGTATAGTATGATATATTGTCAATTGTCACATTGAGAAAAGTTCCAGACATGAATAGTTATTTATAATAAAAGGAGAAAAATTAGTAAATTTCAGATCCAGGTTGTGTTGTCTCTGGAGACAAAAAACCGAGAGTTTGAAACTAATATTTTTTCTGTGAATAATACAGAATGAAGAGTCAGTCATATTGATCCTGTTATTCTCCAATCCACCCACTTTCTCTATGTATTGAAAGAAACTATGTTATTTTCTTTCTCAGAACCTATTCACTTACGAATAGTCATAAGCTATTCAACGATGCCAAACATGAAGTAAGTAAGTGAATTTTTTTCATCCATAGATACATAATGAAGAACATTATGATTACAAGAAAAGCTCACACATGATCTCCAGAGATCCTGGCTATCATTCCATTACTGGCAATACTAGCCAAATTATCTCGACAATTCCACGACGTATACTATATCGTTGATTGATATATTACGCTTACGAACGGTTGCGACGGTATCAATGATATTCAAGCAGGTAAATAAACTCATACTAATACACCTTCTCATACGTAAACGACTCTTCAGTGATTCTATGTTTTATGTGGGGTAAGACGAATATTCTCCGTTTGATGAAAGCATTTTTGACAGGAGTGACAAATTTGGAGTTCGCTTTCACCGTTTTATCCCCTGTTTTTTTTTATACAAGAATGGTATACCTTGTACCGATCCGGACCTGGAGGCGAGAGGGTTTTTGCATGTATCATAGGCCCCACGCCGAGGCTTTGGGGGCTGATAGACAACGTTATTCCCCACTTTGAATTCCCGGTATGGCACCCCTTAAGTGTAGCTTTTAGGAGGGGTGAATTTTCAAACGTGTCATTAATATCCATGCCCCTGGATCATAAGCCCCACTTTTATTCTTGTTTTATGTCGTCAAGGAGGTCGTCAAAGTTCGCGAACTCGTTATGCCATACCAATATGGCGTCACTTAGGGTCCGCCATATTTACCGCAACGTGTAATTTTTTCACTGTGGATATGAATCATGGGCCCCACGCTGTTGTTTCGTGATCTTTGTTAACAATGAACTGTAGAACAAAGATTTCAAAACGCCATACCTCTGGGGCGTCGCCAAGTGGCCGCCATATTGGGGCGAACATGTCAATTTTAGCAATGAACATGTATAATAGGTACCGGTATGGCGTTTTGGTTTTAAGATGCTATGTTGCATCACTTTAGCGGGGATTACACTGCCATACCGATAGCGTGTCGCTACAGGGGTGCCATACCGAAAAAACTATTTTTTTTGTTTTCAGCAACGCTCTGGAATGACTAGGCAGAATTGCTTTCAAACTTGTATTTATAGGTTTTGGAGGTCGCTGATTACGAATTTGATGTCAAACTTGTGAAAATCAAAATGGCGGACCCAATATGGCGGACGAAAAAAAGTGAAAATTCGTAGATTGTTCTAAAAATTTTTTTGACGTCAATACTTGTGAAATTGAGAAAAACAAATTGAAGATTGAAAATGCCGGATCTAATATGGCGGACAAAATGTTCTAAAATGCTTCCATTTTTCTGAAAATGGTCACTGATAATGAAATACTACGTACTCAAGTTTATTTGTAATTTAGTTTATAAGAAGTAAACACAATACATTTGTATAAAAATATATCTTCAAAATTCGTCTTCATCATCATTGGAGGAAGCATCACGTTCGTCATCGGATAGGTCGGCATTGTAGTCAAATGCATCCACATTTGTTCCTGCAATGCCATCAGATGAAGCATCTTCATCCACATCTTCATCTGTTTCTTCGTCAGAACTAGCTGTTTCTGTAAATCCATTGATCTATTGATTTCAGTTCAACTCATTATTGCATGATTGAATGACTAGAGTAATATCTTCATTCATTTATTATTATTACTTTTATTGAAACTGTTGCCTTTTGAATATAAGTTGTAATTATTATTTTCGAAAATATTTATGTAATATCATTTTATATTAACCTTGCTCGATGGTTTCTGTCGTTTCCTGTTCCTCTTGCTTACGCTCCTCAGTCTCAATATTTTGCAGGACTATTTCATTTATGGTGTTTGGCATAGCTTCACCGTCAAACCACTTGAAAGTATAGCCATCGTCAGACAAATCCCAACCATGATGAGAAGCATTTTCATGCAATGTTGGAACTTTCAAATGGCTGTTACACCAAATGTCGGCAACGTAAGATACTCGTAATAGTTGTTGATATAACTCAGCTTTGCATGGTGGAATAGTCGAGGCATCGAAGTTTCGTACTGTCTTGTTGAATGATTGTTTATCACTCTTCATGCTGTACGATTTTAAAAACAGAGCCAATCTGGCTTCGTTAACTTCGTTGATGTGATTTTGACCATACAACCTGCAATAATATATAACGTTTCATACGAATCGATGTATGACTTATTGGTTATTTTATATAATAGAGGAATAAAAAACAAACCTGCACACAAATTTTTCAAGCACGGAAAAGCTTTCTTCACGTTGTTCATTAATGTTAATAAAAGCATCTTGAAATTCTTCATTCTGCAAAACAATTTGCAACGGCTTCTTCTTTCCTTTGCGGTACAAAGCTGGGATATAATCGCATCCGGTCATTGCATGAAGACCTGCCAAAGAACGGCACATTTTTTCGCCCAATTTATCGTGGATTTTATTGACATGGATGTATCTTTGTTTGTTTCCTGAAAGATAATTACGGTCAAGAATTTTAAACAATTACATCAAACCTTCAAATCGTATTCATAAACATTTATAAATGTTCTACTTTTTGATACCTGTACTGAAACGCAACCAAATTTCCAAATTCGCTTTCAAGTGACACATGTTAGCCAGCATAATAACAAGGACATCGGTGTCAGAGCACTGAATTTCAACGTTGTAATCATTTTCCATTTGGCACAAGTGGAAAATGATTTTTGTGTCAGCTTCTTCATGGACAGGACAAGAAATATCTTCATCAATTGTTCTAACAACATGACCTTCTTCCACTACGTATTTATAGCACTTGTCGAAAGAAACGTACAAAACTTTTCGTTTTATGATCTCTGCTGCATCGTCGCTTGACCAATGTTCGATAAGAAACTCAACTAAGGCCGTCTTGAATTTGTCATTTCGCAATTCAGCACTGAAATTGCTAGGTCGAACCTGTTCACTTCCATAAATGAAGAAGTCGGCAGGAAAACATTCTCTCCGGTTACGTTCTACTGCTTTTATCGATGGTTCGACGTATTGATCGAAGACAACAAGTACTTGAGAAGCATAAGCAGAACACACAGAGGTTAAATACTTTAAGGAAACATTCCCAAAAGTTACCGGAACTTGCTTCATTGTGTGAAACAGGAAAAATCCATCCACGACTTTAACATCAATAAATTGAGGTGCACCATGATCTTGCACTTTAGATTCCAGTGTTGCAGTCAAAGCAGATTTACCTGTTTTGTGGATGATCCCTTCGATCTGGCACATCGATAGAGGTACAGGAGTCAGTGGGTACGTTAAGACCTGCGAAATTGTTAATAGTTCATACATATATGAATTCAAAAATATTTTTAATTTTGGGTAAAAATAATACCTTTGTTAAATCGATTTTCTTTTTCAGTGATATTGCCAAAAGTCGTCCAAACAAATCCTTCTGGAACTTCACTTCTGTAACTTTTCCCCCGATTCTTATCTTCCTTTTTTTTACAACAGAGGCGAAATTATTTATCTTGACCCTCTTTATTGTGTAATTGTGAAATGCATCTTCATCTTCAATACAAGCGTTGATCATACTTGTGCGCATTTCGTTGCCGGTTGATTCAATTGAAGTAAGAAATAATGCGACGTCTTTGGGCGCTGCTTCGCCAGTAGATATATTGTACAGTAGCTCCTCCTTTAGACTCTCATCAAATGGATTCATTCGCAGGTTAAGTCCATTTATGAAATTGGCCATCTGCATTCTGCTTTTCCTTATGCGGTCTTCCTTCAAGTCATTTGTTGTACTTTCAATTCCTGATAATCCCAGCGTTTACAATAAATGAGAACATACTTCAGATCTAAGAGCGAAGTCGACAGTCCACCTGAAAATTGCAGATAATTAATATGCAATGTTATCTAATAACTTTCAAAAAATTCATCAAGGTAATGATAATTGTTAATTTTGAAAGGAAAAATGTGTTATTACCTCATGCGTGCTTTAATTGAATTGGTGAAATGAGTGATTCCTGTTAAAGTTCTGCCAGCATCTGCATTGATAGTTTGTTCTACAACTAAATCTGCTCCTTGCCTTGAGAAATTTTTGTTCGTGCGTTTGATACCTAAATAACCATCCTGGAAGTCCTTCAACAGCTCTGGATGTGTCTCTCCAACTTTTGACAAGTTGTCACAATATCTGACAAGCCAACGAGCGTAGTTTATGTGATTGAATGGAAAAAAGATATTGTTCAACTTGGGCAATATGTACTTCAGAAGGTCAAAGTCACCCATGCGTATACTTCTGCTGAACATCAGATAATGGTCGATAAGATTGGTGTATATCATGTAGAATTGCGGTGTTTTCCCATGCAGACCCGCCAGTGTCTCCTCTTTGGAGGTCAAATACTGTTGAGCAAGGTGCCGCAGCTCAATGTTGTCTATTTTATTTTCAATTACTCCATGAGACTGCAGTAACTTTAAATGAGCAATCAAATAATCTGAAATTTGCACATCCTTCTTCCTCAGGAAAAACTTGAAATGCTCTTCTTTAAGACACAGTGACACGAGAATATGCAGTCTTTTTGTACGATTAAAATTTTTGGCAGATAAAAATCCTCAGAGTGATCCTGCTGCTAGTAGTCCACTTTCAATCATAACATTAGTTAGACCGCAATTATCTATAAATGATCCAACTGCATGTAAATATGACATTTCTGTGTGAAAAGGACCAAGATGAATAAAAATCCGATCAAAATCGTTTTTGTACATTGACTGCAATTGCATTGCCATTTTCGCAATGGCTAAATCGTAAGTGACTGTTATATATTTTTGATTACATTCAGCAGCGACTTGAGTGGCTCGTCTCACGGTTTCCAAAACGACAGCCGGATCTGATGGGGACAAATTGATCGGTGGTAGGTAGGAAACTATTTGTGTTACAGAAGTGTCATTTAATAATTTGGCATTGAACCCGACCCACATTGGCGTTTTGATGTCTAAAGCATGGGATATCATCCATGTGACATCGATGATTTTGAATTCTTTCAAATTGGCAGGAGCAGCTGTAACACCGATGGAGTCCACTCGTTGAAGCTGTCCAACGAACTTTAATCTTTTTGCAAGAGGCTCTACTTCTGGAATTATGGTGTCAAATGTTCGTCTTCTTTTTTTTCCAGCAGCTTCGCCGTCAGTAGAACTTTGTAAAACACTTTCGTTGTTGTCCTCGCAAATGTTTTGGTAAATTATCCCGACCGTGTCATGGAGGGTTTCCTTCTCCGTAGTGGTTTCAACAAATCTGTCGAAGTTGTCGAATGCAACGCCTGTATGCAGGTCATTTTTCATGATTATGTTACTTGGGCATAACGATGATTTGTTAAAACTAGTATAAGCAGCCTCAGTTTCCAGTTCTTCGATAACACTATAAGAAATACAGTGTCCCAGTTTGTTCATGATGTTCAAAACTTTCTTACTGTTAGTGAGACTTTTCAGGGCTATTCCAAGCTCAATTTGTTTGGCAGGTTTTATCCTTCCTCGTGTTGTAGCATAAATGAGGTCTGAAGATAACGTTTCACTGCGTAAATCCAGATTTGAGGCATGCCTTTGGTGATAATTAAAACCTCCTAAAACTGTTTTATAAAATGTTTTCAATATTTCTGGAATATCACATTCTCCAGCAATCAAATCTTTGGTTTCTACTTTGTTTGGAAGTGTCTTTTTCTTCATTTGAAAAATAACATTTCTCAGATGAATTGCTGCTCGTTGTAGGGTATCTTCTTTCTTTAGTGCATCAAGGTTGCTAATTGTTGTAACGTCATAAGGAGCAATAATGGTTTTTCCTCCACATGGTGTTATAATGGTGATTTTTTTCTTGAACGCCTCCTGAGAAAGTATTCTATTTCTTATGTGCCTTGTATCAAAAACGCGTGCTGTGGGTAAATCGTTTTTCTTATATTCTTCTACTAACAAGTTTGAAAAAACTTCTGTCAAAAAACTGAAAAAAAAAACTTATTTTCATTGATAACATTATCTTTAATAAAACGGCACAGGTTGATAAATGCAGTGGTGTGACAATTGCGCCTCTTGTGCCATGCAGAACTCTTATTTGCCAACATTAGTCGACAATCAGTTCTGTATTTTTCTCTGCAGGGCCTGTGATGATATATCATGTCGTTGTTTTGAACACGGCCGGCAATTAGAGTCAAAAGTCTAATGTCATCAATTTCTGTTGCAAGTTTTTTAATTGAATGTACCACTTTCGCATTGACTGTCATTTTACTCATTTTAACTTTTTTTCGATTTTTGTATTTAGTAACTTTGTTGCAAATTATGCATTTCGTCTTCTCAGCAGCTGCATCATCATCACCTTCAACGCCTACTTCTTCAGTCGTTTCATTATCTGCGTTATCAACCCCATCTGTGCTTCCTTCTTCGTTAGTTTCATTGTCCATATCTTCTTGTACTTCTGTGGTTACTTCCTTTGTAGCCTTTTTGCTCATATTATTGTCCACTTCTGTGCCTGCTTCATAATCGCCGGGAACACACCTAATGAATAAATCGAAAACAAAAAGTAATAAGAAATATTTCCTACAATTTCGTCATTTAAGAAAAAAGTTAAATGTAAATTGTGTCTTTACATATACGCTAATCAACAGAAATGTAAAAAGGCAGTTTGCTGTTGACATTTTTGTTATATTTATGCAGTTGTATCAAAATTAGATATTGGAATTCTTCTGAATAAATTTTATAATAATGAAGGAAGAATTTAATTTCAAAAATTAAAACAAGTTTTAGAAAAAATATCGGATTGTTCAAAAATTATAAATGATGCTATATGGAATCGTACGGAAATATAGGGTAAATAATGTCAACTTTGTGAATCCTTTTAAAATATTAATACATATTATAAATGAACTTTTCAAGAACCATGCTCAATCATTGCGAAATGTATAATTTCCTAACGCTTTTGCTCAAACTCTTCATTTTTGGATAACCAGGAATAAGATTATTCACCCATTTTCAGTGCAACTACGCATTGAACAGTTTACATTGAAATATGTAAAATTACTCTAACGCTTACCCAGTATTTGAAAAATCAAAAGATTCTTCTGACGCAATATCTCCAAACTGAGAAGTTCCAGGTTTCGCATCTTTGTCTCCTGACTGAGAAGTTCCAGGCTCCGCATCTTTATCCTTATCAATTTGCAATCGTTCGAACTGCTCTTTATGTTTTTTTCCAATAGCGTTGAAAGAGCGATAACACGATATGTGGTATCCGCTTCTGTCATCTATTTCATGCGACAAACTAGCCTCATTGTATTTCAAATTACACAATTGGCGGATTTGCAAAGAATGTTTACATTTATGAAACGACTCTCGTTTAAACGAAATAACACTATCATCACTCGATTTGCAAATAAAACACGATCGTTTTTCATTAAAAATTTCTTCATCCATAGTGGCAAGAATTTCACTTCTCAACTGCCGGCAGAATAATGGTTGGATTTTGGGTTTTGGATTCGAAACCCGACAAACAGGTAGCTGTGCAGGTAGTCCAAGCAGCCGGCCCACTCCCCCTCCCCATGAAATATGCAGTTTGTATTATTCCACAACAGCATCGAAGGTTTTGAAGGAAACGCAAACGAGTGTTTTATTTCCAGACACTGTATTATTTTATTTCATTTAATTTTTCTATCAATTGATGAGATACCTATCCTCTCAAATTATATTCTGTGAACTTACCTATATTGTGTAAAAAACATGATTTTCCAGCGTGAAACAATACGTCATATACATTATCAATACTCATTTCCACAACAATTTTATACTTGATAATAACCACTATTGTATTTTTTAATATGTACATGCAAAACATTTTATGCAATATTATCATATACCTACCAAAATAGTAAATTATGTAACAAGTGTGTAATAAAGTGGTTCTTTTTTTTCGATCAGGAAAGAATTTCTATGAGTAAAAAAAACACTTTACACACGTGTTGCATACAATATTTTTTCCACAACTGTCCATCCAATTTTCATGAAGTTCATTACCTATTCAACCTCAATCATTTAATGGTGATGTATCCACCTAGTTTCTAAAGAAGAAATAGCCACAGACACCTTGGCCTAAACTGAATAAATAGCTCAAATAATCCCGTGTACAGCGCTCATGAAATGACAAAAGAGACGCGTACCTCCAATATCAATTGCCCCGAATGCGTTTTCGCGCTCTCTCGCGTCTCATTCGCGAGCCGCCTTGACTTTTTTTCGCTTCGATTGCTGTCGCGACGAATCCGTATCAGGCGAGCATTACGTCTCCTAGCAACAACCGTGAAGACAAGTGCACTATTTTTCACACTTTTTCCTGAAATAATGAAACAGTATTTCGATATTGAAAAATGACACACTTTAGGTGCACAAAATACACAAAAAGTGACTTTTTTTGACAGTTGTAAAAAAAAAATTATTTTATGTATATTGATTGTGCACGTTAGCGACATGCCATGGGTATGGCAATGATATATTCGTGCTTTATACTTCAAAATATACATCAAAATGCCGGTATGGTAGTGGGGCCTTTAATACACTTAACCTATGAAAATGTGACAACTTTGGAAGCCAATATCTGAAGTACGATAGTGCGGCTGCTCATTTTGAGAATGCTTCAAGAGATCAGTTGAACATCAGATTTCCACATGGTCCTCTTTCATGACCACCTCAGTCACCTGATCTCAATCTACTTGATCAATTTATTCAAGGCTATCTTGGATGTTTAGTCTATAAAACACCTGATAATATTAGGGATGAGCTTTTGAATCAAATTGTCACATCTGCACACACCGCAACATATATTTTATCTACAAAGATGGTAAACTTCATTTCATTCGATATCTTGTACCTTGCTAGAGAAAATCGCATTTTGAAACATACATTCCAACCATTTCAGAGGTAATAAAAGCTCTGTTCACCTATTAAATTGCATGAGTGAATACAGAAATATCATCAAAAATTGTTATCAATATGTGCATCTTGAACTTTGACGCATTTTTTCAAGTTGTGTAAACATCTGTGTTGTATACTCGGCTCACTCTATCAATCCTATCATTTACGCGACATGACCTTTCTGGACAAACTGTATAGAACTGTAATCTCCTGCGATGAAAGAACCAATCAGAATGGTGTGCCTTCTGATGCAGAAGATGCTATAGCCCAAGCAACAAATATGATTTATGAATAATTAGTGCTCACAATTCTATCGACAATTCTGTTTGAAATCTTATACTCATTGAAGAAAGACATATTCCTGAAACAATTTCTGTATTCCATTCGTGATAAAACGTTGTTGTCGACTTTTGGCACACCATGCATAGGTAGATTATAAATGATCTAGTATAATATGCCAATTCTCAAATTATTAATCAAACTGCAAGTTGGATTAAGTACTTCTAATTTGTGGCTTCAGTGAATCACCCCTTATTACCATCTTCACTGAAGCCAGTTAGCATAAAAATACAGGGTGTTCTATTTGAATTAAGAAAGGAGAGTGTATTTCTGGTTGAACCGGTAGTACACACTAAGGAAAATTGTGCAATTAGAGTTGTTGTTGAGATACATCTTGCTACCATCACAAAAAAATCCTATTACTTTCTGTTAATCATTTTAGAAAAGAAGCAGCACATTGAAATCCTATGATTCAGCGCCAACTTATCGTTATTCGATATTCTGCTGATTTTTCCTTCTTTAGTAGCATTTGTCAGACATCTTGCGTTTGGAAGACATATTCAATCATTATCAGTCGGCTCTGTGGATGCAAACCCACAGGACGACAATCTCGCTGACATTCAGCATTCAAAATATTCGAATCTGAATTCAAATATAGAATGACAACATTGTAAGACAATTAACAGCAACATTTTTATTTCCCTTTCATTGCTTTCGTAGATCTCAGTGTCTAACATTTTACCAATTAAACCAATCCTGGAAAATGACTAAATAACTACAGCAAGTTCTCTACCTACGATTATAACATTGTACTACTTTCATCATTAGATGCACTCACTAGCGGTAGCAAAGTCAGATACCTATAGAAACATCGTCTGATAGTAATATACTCTTGTTAGTGGCAACAAGGTTCAATATCTACTAATGGCAGGTGAAGTATGATTAGCAAAGTCGACTTTCACAGGTGATAACTCGCTTGTCCTCTATATGCTATTAGAATTTCTTCCTGGGAGGATTCAATTTCTACCTATGGTTAATAGAAATTATCCTCAGTTGATTATGAATGAAAACAATCATATCATATTGCATTTTGTGTCATTATAACTGACTGCAAGGTTTCATGAATTTTGTCCATTTCGTTTCGAACATGTTCCCTTGGTTCCATACTTCATCCCAACCTTGTATAATACAATTATCAACATGAGCGTTGGGAATGGAAGTCAAAGACACGTGTTCTAATCGGCTTCGAAATACGATATATAGTGCATCTGGAATAAATTGTGTTATAACGGAACAGAAATTTAATCACCGTCATTTTTCCATTCCATTGGTACAAAGTATTTCAATTTATTGCCAAGATAGAGAAAATCCCTCTATCCTCCTTCCATTCATTTCGAAATAATTCAAATGTAATACGTAAACATGCTATCACTGAGGAGAATGCATAAGGTATTTTCTATGCAAATGATATTTTCCCTCTTGTATTATTCCACATTTGCATGTTATCTCAAAAAATGGTGCTATCCTACATTTATTTGGAACTTATTATTCCACTCATATTTCCATATTATAATAGTTATGGAACGAATCTTGGAATGTTGATAATCAGACAATGTTTGCTGAGATTTCAAATCAAACATGTGCGTAAGTGTCAGATGGTTTATTTTTCAAAATCATAAATGTTTCACCTAACTTGTATATGTCCAGAATATCCGAAAGTATGAAAATCCAGAGTTTATATACAAAGATCATGAACATGGCTCATCACTTTCAATGCAAGAATGTGAAAAAAATCAGACTACATATCCACTGAAAACTCTTTCACTTTCTATGGGTGCCTCGGATAATGAAAAACTACGGAATGAATAGAGAAAGGGGTCTATAAAGGGTTTCCAACCACCCTCGCCCCCCAGAACTATCTGATACAATCTGAAAAATACCAACCTAAGTAGATGATTTTTGGATGTATGATAAATTGACATTCATCATACAGGACGTGGAAATAAATTCTGAATTGAGAAAACCTAATCACGAATCTGCGATTGAGGTTTATAAAAATAGCAAGTTTTCATCGTTCAAGTTTGAACCCCTTGATTGGGTGAAAGTATTGAAAAGGAATATTCTCAGATATATTTATGAACACGAAAAAATGGATATACAAATCTCAACACACTAAATGGACCACTCATAATTTGACTCTATTTCGAAGACCTGTATTTTTTGAAAAAATTGATCGATCTTCATGCGGTTTTCGATATCAGATGAGATGTTTCATCGTCTTCAAAGAGAACACTCTTATTAAAAAGTCCGCAGAACAAAACTTACACAGGGTGTAAAGTGGAACCATTACACTATGGTCTATATTTCCAATGCTGCCAGAACTCATAATATGATACACTGGGACCTCATCTCGGGACGTTTTCGTGATTTCTCCTCAATGGGCTTCTATCACAAAAAATTTTTATTTCATAATTCGATAGAACTCACCCAAACTAGCTCACCACCGCAAACCGTTTCTTGCTGTGAGCTCCCTACGTTTTATAAAAAATTATTGAAATCCCCGATTTTTAGGACCTCTGAAAACGAGGCGATGATGTGACGTCAAAACCCTAATACTGAAACAAGACTATTCCAGACAGAGATGAATGATACATGATTTCTGACAGAGTGAATCAGCGCGAGATCACAGTTGAAAGAATTAATATATCAGTTGCCTCAGTCTCCGTCGGGTGTTTGGTCTTTCCTTTTAACTATGGTGAGATGAGGTTTCTACGTCATAAGAGGGTCCGTTTTCAGAAAGTACTATTATTTATGTCCAAAAATAAAACATCCCAGTTAATTTTTCGATCGAATTATGTCGTCAATCATTATTTATGTATAAAATGATCATTATAAACATGGTTTGAGTTAAGAGTTCTACCACGGTGTACACGCCCATTGGCCATTGGAACAAAAATTCGATTTTTTTCTCGAAAGTCTTGCATTTCTTGAATTTTTTCTCTAGAACTCCACTTGAGCTGACTATTGAGAAGAACTGTTCTCATGTTTTGTGGAGGAGAATGAAAGACGAAATAAGGACTATTGTGGAATATACAGGATGAAGAAAACTATGTGTTAGGAAAACAGCTAATATCTCTATTTTCCTTGAGGTTGCAGTCAAAGGGAATGGCCAATGTAGAGAAAAGACTCTTTGTTAACCCTTGATTACTTGCGCTAATCAATTCGAACTTTTT